CCTCGGCTGGAGGCTGAGGGGGAGATTCGGGGGAGCCGGGGGCCCGGGTGGGGGACCCAGGGGCCGGGAGCTCTGGGGGGGCATCAGGAGAGCCGGGGGCCGAGGCTGAAGGCTGGAAAGGAGCTCCTGGGGCTGGGCAGGTGGGGGGCCTTGGAGACCCAGGGGGTCCGAGGGTACCCGGCTGGAGAGAGGAAAGCTGTGGAAAGAGCCGGAGGTGGGGAGAATGTCATGGCACCCAAGAGGAACCCCCCAGGTGTCACCCACCCCCAAATCACAGCCCCCCTCCCCAAGTCCAAGGCAGCCTGGGTGGCTCCCAGTGGCCCCCAGCTGAGTGCCCCCCTCGAACGCCCACCCTCCAGCGGCACAGAGACAGATGGAGAGGAAGAAATGAAGCAGGAGGAAGTAAAAACACCCTCAGCCCGGATCCTGCACCCCTCCATGGGGCTGGGCACCCCCTTGGCAGTGACACCCTGCCAGCTGCCACCCCGGTGTCACCACGGTCTGGTGTCATGCACGGGGTTGGCAGGGAGCCCGAAAGGGCCTGCCCTGCCACATACCTGCCGGGTCACCAAACCCTGGCTGGTGACTCACGGCTGCTCCCTGCCCACGTCTCGGCAGCGGTGCTGGCACACGCCACCCCCCACTCCAAAACCACCTGGCCCTGCGCCCAGGAACCCAGAGGAAGGGACAGGGGGCACCCCGAGGAGAAAGGAGAGACACGCACCCCGCAGAGAGGGAGCCCCGGAGGAGACAGGAGAGCCCCGAAGGAGAGAGCCCAGGAGCGGAGCCGCCGCGGTGCGGGAGGGCGAGGCGAGAACTCACGTCAGGGGGGGAAGGCGGCCTCCGGCGTCCACGGGGGTCCCCGGCACAGCTCGGGCCGGCTGGGGGGGAGCCGCTGCCAGAGAGAAACGGAGAAGGAGGGTAAATTTAACCCCCATGCCTCCGCTTCCCTCTCCCACCGCCCGCAGACACACCTCCCGGCCCCAAACCACCCACTCTGGCCACAGGATGGGGTTGGGTGAACCACAAGAGGCTCTTCAATGGCTGCAAGCTGTACCCAAAACCAGCACAAATTATCAGCGAGGCTTTGACTGCGGAGGGGAGGAAGGCAAATCAGCCCCAATCCCCTTTCCGGAAAGTTTTCAGTCCTTCGGAGAGCCAGTTTCTCACACTCTGGTTTAAAATAGCCCCCGTCTCGCTCTCCCGGAGGTGCCCAGCCTTCAGGAGCGTGGCCAAGTGCTGGCTCTCACCCAGGACATCCTGCAGCCAGGAGTCCCGCAGATGGGTCGGCTCCCTCTGCCTTGGCACAGCCCGGCAGGGTGAAAAAATAGCAAGGGTGGGAAAAAAAGGAGCGTTTTCCCAGGGGAGCGACCCCCTTCCCATTACCCCTAGCCCGGGCAGCGGGACGGCCGGCTGGCTCCCTTCCCGGCCCCCGGGGGCGGCAGGCGCGGCGGCAGCTCCTGGGCCGGGACAGCCCGTTCCTGTGGTCTGAGCAAACCGCCCGGCACCGCCGCGGCCGCCCCGGCCTTCCCACGGAGGCAGCTCAAGGCGCTGCCGGCTCGGGAGGACACCGGCCACCAGCCCTCAGCTCCGTTATTCCCAACCCCGGGATGGCTCGGAGCAACGTCCCCCCGTCCGCACAGCCCCTCGCCCTCCCCGGCTCAGCCCCCAGCCCCTCACCTCGTCTCGGCAATGGGGTGCTCGCCATCCCCCGTCCCCAGCTCGCCCGCCGTGGGTTGGGGTGTCTGGCGGGCTTCACCGGGGGGGGCTCCATCCGCCTCCCCGCTGGGACGTCTCCGGAAGGCGGTGAAAGTCTTGGAGCCGAAGCGAGAGGAGGAATCGGGGCAAAAGGGTGAGAGCCGGGCTCGGTCTGGGCTGCCCGGGCCCTCCCTGCTGTCCATTTTGGCCAAGATCTCCTCCACGGTGGTGCCTGGAAATCGCTCCGGTTTGGTCGCCACCGGCACCGGTGTCACCTTGAAGGGAGCCAGGCCTTTGCGAGAAGGGGTCGGCGGGGCGGGGGGCACCTCCTCAGCGGGGGCTGGACCTCGGTCCTCAGTGGCTGCAACCGGAGCGGACGGGAGCCCCTTCCCATTGGGGGTCTCAGGAGACTTGAGGGTGAAGGAGGGGCGCCTGAGGGGCCCCCCCGAGCCGCCCCCACTGTAGGGCTGGGGTCCAGCCAGGCGGTTCATCTTCTCAGCGGAGGGCAGCTCCGGGCGAGGGTGCCGAGGCCCCAGCGGGGGCTGTGGCAGGGAGGGCTTGGCGGGCACGGCCGGCTTGGGCAGCACCCGGGGCTTGGGCCGCACCGGTGGCTTGGTGCGAGCGGGGCCTGTGAGAGAGGAGAATCGTCGTGTTGGAGAAGCCCCACGGCCCCACTGGGCTCCCTGGGGAAGGCCAGGGGGACACCGGGCCGAGCGTGGGGCTCAGGCACCAGGGCATCATACCCAGTGCAGACCAGGCCAGAAGCCCCCCACCACGATTCCTCCCACCCTCTCGGGGACAGACCTTTCTCAGGGCTGCCAGCCCCCAGCCCAGCCCCACCGGTGCCCGTGGGGGAGGCACAGGGCACGGCGGGGCGCAGGGGCTGCGGCTGCGAGGCCATGGTGGAACCGGGGCCGGGGCTCAGTGGACACGGCGCAGGGTCAGCCCCTGGGGAGAGAGAAAGGAGTGAGAAGCATTTTGGGAGTGTCCCTTTGCCCCAGGCAGGCAGCCACCTCCTCCAGCCATGCTGTGCCGCGGTGCCAGCGCTGTGCCAAAGCCTCGTGTCCACCTGTGCCGTCAGCCGGACATCGTGCCAAACCGCTATCGCTCTGCCAGCCCTCCCCTCACCGGTGCCGCCCTGTGTACACCGGCCCCAGCCGCCTGTACCACCGGGGCTCGGCGCAGGGACCCCACACACCCCCTCCCCCCCCCCCCGCCCGCACCCCTCACACACGGCGGTAATGGCGTGTAGCCCACGTTGGCTCCCGCACGCTGCGACCCTCCCAAAACCCCTGCTGTTCCTCATTTACCCGGCCCAGCCCGGCACCGGCCCATCCCAGCACCCC